TCAGCGGTTTGAGGTCTGGAATATGCTCCCGAGAGAAAGCCACTGCTGTTCTGCATTCCCCTCCTCTCGGGATCCACGCTGCCCAGCGTCCGCAAAGATTAGTTTATTACACGTTACTTAGTTTTTTACAAAATACGTTTTTATTGATGTCAGAGAGGAAGGGAGAGGAAAGACAGAAACATCCATGAGAGAATCATGGATCGGCGGCCTCCTGCACGCCCCGCACTGGGGAATCGAGCCCACAGCCCGGGCATGTGCCCTGACGGGGAATCGAACCCGTGACCTCCTTGTCCTAGGTGGACAGTCAACCCCTGAGCCAGGGCGGCCGGGTCCCATTACCTGGTTTTTTGTTTAGAGCAACTTCTGTCCAATGACACCGTCAGCGCTGGAAGCAGGGACAACCCCCCGCCGACCCGGTGCTGTTTTCCCCATTGTCTTTCCCCTTCAAGCTTGGCTGCCACCATCAGACAGCGCGAGGGCCCTTTTTCCTGCATCTGCATGGGTGCCGGGTGCTGCGTGAGCATTTCCCCTTCTGACACCAGATAACCATTCTCAGCGCGTCTATTTCCACGAGGCATCATCACGGGGTCGGACAAGCTGCCACCTGGTCCTGGGAGGGACCAGGCATCATCACGGGGCCTGATGCACATCCAGAACCTGGGGCACCCGGCCACAGGGAGTGACCAGGCATCACGGGTCCGGAGCATCCAGGACCCGGGGGCACCCGGCCACAGGGAGGGACCAGGCATCACGGGGCCGGAGCATCCAGGACCCGGGGCACCCGGCCACAGGGACCACGCCGCTCGGGATGTGCGGATCCAGGGCTCCCCTCGCTTCCACACGCAGTGGGGGCTTGCGAGAGAGGCAGCCGATCAATGATTCTTCCTAGAATGTCATTCGATCAATGAGCTGCCGGGAGCGGAAGGGGACTTGGCCGAGAGGTCACCCCTGAACAGGAAACTCCTCCACGTCTCGTGTAAAACGTTTTTGCCGATCTGGCATCCCCATGATCGACATTTATTCCAACACAGATCCAATGTTTACAATCGGTTATCAGACAAACTCCTTGGGCCTTTTTCCTCCCTCCAAGCCTTCGGGGGTCATGGCTGCTCCACGGAAATGCTGACTTCATGGCGGAGACCATTTTTTCGCCCAAACATCCTTTTGCTCAAGTCACACACAACCGTCGAACGGTCCCAATCAACCGCCGGGTCGGAACCAAACGCGACGTACACCGTCTCAAGCAGCGCCGCACACGTGCTCACGGCCCCTCACACACTCGCACCCGCAACCAGAGGCGATCGCACGCGCACAGCACGCCCCACGCACCGGCTCTCACACGGCAACTCCCACCGCAGAACGCACTCCATCGGGTTCCCCCGACGGGCGCACACGCACGCTCCCGCGCACGCCCCGGGTACCGCCCACTGCGAAGCATCGCGAGACCGGGCCTCGCGGCGCACGGCAATCTTTACGGCCTGGAGACTACGTTTCCCAGAATACACTGCGGCGCCGGCCCAATCGCTACGCCGCATCGGCGCGGCTTTGTGCGTCTGCGCCATCTTCCGGCTCCAGGCGAAGAGTTCGCCGGTATCGACGAGAAAGCTCACCTGGGACAGCGGGGGGGCGCAGTCTCGGTGGCACTCGGACCCGAGAAAGCGGCAGGTGAGGGGATCCGGAGTTTCCCGCGCGCTCCGGGGCCCGTGCGAGAGCGGGCGCCGCGGCCGGGCGGGTCTTGGGCCTGGGGGGAACCGGAGCGTCTCGCCTCAGCATCGGTCTGCGGCTTCCCGAGCTCCGGACTACATTTCCCATCGGCCCCCGCGACCCACGCCCGGCCGGCGTTCCCTTTCTGCGTCACAGCTCATCACCCGGGGCCCCCAGACCCCTTCGGTGGGTGTGGAGGGGTCCCCACCCCCTGAAATTGCTTGCGGGTGTTTTGCATGATTCTTACGCATGCCTTTTTTTTTTTTTTTTTAAATCTACGCTGAAATCTTGTTCCATGACATTCACCAAGAGTTGCAAGGCCCCAAAAGATTTAGAAGCAGAGACTTAACCCTTAGGGACATTTTAGATGATTTTATTCAAAATCTGTGACCAACAGTGGGGAAAGGTTTGAGGAAATCCGGGGCCATTCATGCAATAAAATATGACAGATCATGCTAAAACGGTGCTCAGAGGAAGGAAAAATTCCCGTTACACCATACCCAGGAACATTCCTAATGATCTCATTTACGCATTACTTGCAATGAAATATTTGTGAAGAAGAAAAAAATATTAGTCATGTGCCGGGCACTGTCCTAAACTCCTTTATAAACTCCACTCAAGAAGTGGTTAAGTGAGGTCACTCTTAACTTGGATGTTTTCTATTCTAATTTCTTTTTAGGATTTTTACCCCCCTCTCCCCCCGTGTGTCCGTAGGGGGGTGGGTGTGACTTATTTTGCTGAATGTTCTTAGGTTGTACAAAGGGTCCATTTGTGGATGTCATTCATTGTTGTGCCGCACCAGCACAGCCAAGGGTGAGTCTGAGGACGGCTGGCCAAGGATTGAAGAAAAGACAAAGAGAATACAGCTGGGGCTTGGTGGATCTCCCATGCCTGGATGAGGACACAAAAGGCCCAGCCTGCAAGCTGATGCTTTATTTACAGTCTGATTTAAAAAACAAGGGCAGCCGAAACCGGTTTGGCTCAGTGGATAGAGCGTCGGCCTGCGGACTGAAGGGTCCCGGGTTCGATTCCGGTCAAGGGCATGTACCTGGGTTGCGGGCACATCCCCAGTGGGAGATGTGCAGGAGGCGGCTGATCGATGTTTCTCTCTCATCGATGTTTCTAACTTTCTGTCTCTCTCCCTTCCTCTCTGTAAAAAATCAATAAAGTATATTAAAAAAAAAAAAAACACAAAAAAAACAAGGGCAGATTAACATGTAGACAAATGTTCTTGTCTTGGCATCACTTAGGTTTGGAAGGAAGGAATTAGGGAGGGCTACAAGGTCAGGCTTAGTTATGCTAGGACAGTGGTCGGCAAACTCATTAGTCAACAGAGCCAAATATCAACAGTACAACGATTGAAATTTCTTTTGAGAGCCAAGTTTTTTAAACTTAAACTATATAGGTAGGTACATTGTTATTAACTTAATTAGGATACTCCTAAGGCTTAGGAAGAGCCACACTCAAGGGGCCAAAGAGCCGCATGTGGCTCATGAGCCGCAGTTTGCCGACCACGGTGCTAGGAGAGCTCTGCCCTCCGGGCGGGGACTTGTTCGTGGCCCTGCCACAGGTCAGCCCCAGGCTTGACCCTAGAACCGCTCCCTACAGTTGTCTGTGGGCATCGACCATCTGGCTGGGCCCAGATTGACCCGACCACTTGCCTGCTTGTGGCCTGTTCTGAGCTAATTTTCGGTTCTGTTTTCCAGCGGCTGTTTCTGTGCACACAGCTTCGCACGCTGTGATGTCTGTGCAGTGGCCTCTCTATGAGCCGGTCATGGAGCGTGGGACCTGCTTCATCTAACTGACCCCCCGCACCCACACTCCATCTGTGGACTCAAGGTAGGGCCCACGGCGTGGTGTCCATCGGGCCTTCAGTAGGGCTGTGGGCTCTTGGTGAACTTGGAAGTTGGGGGAAGTGCCCACGAGACTTCTGAAGGTGTTCCATTGTGAGCATGCGAGTCGGATGGTCTGGTTTAGGGAAGACTTGATTCTTGGCCGGGCGGATCCGGATCAGGCCGGCTCTCTGGGGCTTCCTCTGGCCTGAGGTCAGGCTTCCTTGTCTGTGGGATACCCATGGTCTTAGTCACTGGACCGGGTCTGAGCATCCCCATCTCGGATTTGCACCAGTGACGTTCTCGGGGAAATGGGAGAGAGAGGCCACTGGGTCCCTGTGTCCTCGCAGGGAGCTGGGGGTCTCGTGGAGTTGGGTGAGGGCCCCAGGTTGTCTCGTCTCCGTCAGATTGGTCGGGAGGTGGGGGTGAACGGGATGGGGACTTGTAACCATGGCATCCTGGGAGCTGCCAGGCAAGCCTGGTCTCTCGTGTTCGCTGTTTCCTCCCCCACCTCCGCCCCTCAGGACTCTGGCCTTTCCCGAGAGGAGCCGGGAGGAGGACCCCTCAGCCCATGACATTCCGAACGTCATGTCCATGGTGAGTTTCTAGATCCTGTAAACACTCGCTTTCCTGGTCCCAGCGCTTCCTTCCCACCTGGGCTCCGTCCCAGAGACTCCGGTGCTCAGAGCTTCCTGTTCTCAGAAGTAAAAGAACGGGCAGTCAGTTCCTTTCCCGTCTCCCTCTTCTAGCAAAAAATTCTTGGTTTGGGTTTATTTTTCTTTGACTCCATCAAAGTAGAAGTTCTGGGTCTCCCCTGGAGAATTTAGTATGTGTCAGGGTCAGAGTAAGTCACCATTGGGAACACTCCATGCAACTGGATTTTAATTTTCACCCCAGATCTGTGTACCAGAGCTTTGGTGTGTGTAGTAAAAAAAGAACGTCCGAGAACATTTAAGCCCTGGCTGGTGTGGCTCAGTGGGTAGAGTGTCGGCCTCCGGACTGAAGGGTCCCGGGTTCCATTCTGGTCAAGGGCACATGCGCGGGTTGCATGCTTGATCCCCAGTAGGGGGCAGACAGGGGACAGCCAACTGATGTATCTCTCACTCCCTCTCCCTTCCTCTCTCTCTAAATATCAAAACTATTTTTTAATATATTTTATTGATTTTTTACAGAGAGGAAAGGAGAGGAATAGAGAGTTAGAAACATCGATGAAAGAGAAACATCGATTCAGCTGCCTCCTGCACACTCCCTACTGGGGAGGTGCCCGCAACCAAGGTACATGCCCCCAACCGGAATCGAACCCGGGACTCTTCAGTCCGCAGTCGACACTCTATCTACTGAGCCAAACGGGTTAGGGCTCAAAGCTATTCTTTTAAAAAAAAAACAAAAAATAACATATTAGGACCTCGCTGGTGTGGCTCAGTGGATAGAGTATAGACCTGGACTGAAGGGTCCTGAGTTCCATTCTGGTCAGGGCACATGCCCGGGTTGCGGGCTTGATCCCCAATGTGGGGCATGCAGGGGGCAGCTGATCCATGATTCTCTCTCATCATTGATGTTTCTATCTCTCCCTCTCTCTTCCTCTCTGAAATCAATAAAAATATATATTTTTTAAAAACACAAAAAAGAAAATAGTTTTTAAAAAAAGAACATTGCCTAACTGGTTTGGCTCAGTGGATAGAGCGTCGGCCTGCGGACTGAAGGGTCCCAGGTTCGATTCCGGTCGGGGGCATGTACCTTGGTTGCGGGCACCTCCCCAGTAGGGAGTGTGCAGGAGGCAGCTGAATAGATGATTCTCTCTCATTGATGTTTCTAACTCTCTCTCCCTCTCCCTTCCTCTCTGTAAAAAATCAATAAAATATATTTTTGGAGGAAAAAAAAATTAAAAAAGAAAGAACATTGAACTCACACCCGTGTTCTCCCGTCATCGGCTCACTTCAGGGGCCTCCAGCCCCAGCCTTTTTCTGCAAAGACTCCCCCCACCTCCTCTCCTCCCACCGAGAGGGGTTCCCGTGGGGTTCGCATGTAACACACCTGCCCGTTGTTGCAGGGGTCAGACCTGTTCAGGGATGTGGCCGTCGTCTTCTCCCGGGAAGAATGGGAGTGGCTGGCGCCTGCTCAGAGGGATCTGTACAGGGACGTGATGTTGGAGACCTACAGCAACCTGCGCTCGCTGGGTAAGGGCGCCTGGTCTGGAAGGTCGGAGCGTACCCGGGGGTGGAGGTGTCCCTGCCTTGTCAGTTTGAGGGGTTCAAGGGCAGCTCCCTGGGCTGAAGCTATGTTGTCGCCAGGTCTCGGGTGACTGTCAGGTCATTGTCCCCTGTCCCTTCCCACTATGGCCTCTCATCTCGATGACCAGGTCCTGGGCCTGAGCTCTGGGGCCGCACCATCACCGGGTGTCGTGTCTTTTCTCGCATCCAGATCTCGCCATTTCCAAACCTGATGTGATCGCCTTCCTGGAGCAAGGCAAGGAGCCCTGGAGGGCGGCGGAGGCAGCGGCGGGAGGCCTGTGTCCCGGTAAGTGAGGCTCGTGGGGGAGGAGGGAGCCAGCGCAGGTAACCGTCCAGCAGGTGGGGAGGAAGCCGGCCCTTTGAGGTGGAAAATAGTTCCTCTGAGTCGCCACGCTCAGAGGTCAGGCCGAGGAGGTACCTTCGGTGACTTGTCAGCAGCACTTGACAGCAGCGCTCCCCCCTGGAGCATCTCCTGTCTCTTGCCCCTGCCACCTCTCTAACCCCCTCGACCCCCATGGTGGGTCCTCTCACCATCTCTAGGTTTCGGCTCAGACTCGGCCTCTTCCTTCCTGTTCATCTCCCTTCCCCAGAACCTTCTCCGCTGCCAGGCTAAACACCACCCATGCTGGGCTCTCCAGGATGGCGCTGCTGGTGCTACACGGCCATTGACATTTAAATGAATTACAATGGCCCTGACCGGTGTGGCTCAGTGGATAGAGCGTCGGCCTGCGGACTGAAGGGTCCCAGGTTCGATTCCCGTCGGGGGCATGTACCTTGGTTGCGGGCACGTCCCCAGTAGGGGGTGTCCAGGAGGCAGCTGATCGATGTTTCTCTCTCATGGATGTTTCTAACTCTCTATCCCTCTCCCTTCCTCTCTGTAAAAAATCAATAAAATATATTTTAAAAAAATAATAAAAAATAAAAAAATAAATGAATTACAATGAGCCCGGCCGGCGTGGCTCAGTGGTTGAGCGTCGACCTATGGACCAGGAGGTCACGGTTTGATTCCCAGTCAAGGGCACATGCCTGGGTTGCAGGCTCCATCCCCAGTAGGGATTTAATTATTTTAGTAGCCTCCATGCTGTTTCCCAAGGTGACTGCCCCATCATACGTTCCCACCAGCAGGGCATGAGGGCTCTCGTTTTCCCACATCCGTGCCAGCTCCTGTTACTGTGTTCTTTGGTGTGTTTTTCTTCTTTTTCAATAGTGGCCGTCCTCGTAGCCACGAGGCAGGATCTCATAGTTTCGATTTGGATTTGTCTAGCGACTGGTGACGTTGAGCATCTTTCCATAAGCTTATTGACCATTTGTGTATCTTCTTTGGGAAACTGTATATTCAAGTCCTTTGCCCATTTTTTCATCGGGATGGGTTGCTTTTGTCATTGAGTTGTGGGGGTTCTTTATATAGTCTGGATATGAACCCGTTATCCGATATATGATTCGCAGATATTTTCTTCCATTCTGTACGTTGCCTTTTCACTCTGTTGTTTCCTTTGATGCCCGGTTATTAAGTTTGATGTCGTCCCATTTGTATATTTTTGCTTTTATTGCCTGTGCTTTTGGTGCCATCTCTAAGAAAGTATTACCAAATGCAATGTCATAAAGCTTTCCCCTCTGTTTTCTTCTGGGAGCTTTATAGTTTTAGGTCCTCTGTAGGTCTTCCATTCATGTTGAGTTAATGTTTGTATTTGGTGTGAGGTAAGGGTCTTGCTTCATTTTTTTTTTAAATACATTTATTGATTTCAGAGAGGAAGGAAGAGGGAGAGAGAGATAGAAACATCAATGATAAGACAGAATCATTGATTGGCTGCCTCCTGCATGCCCCCTACTGGGGATCAAGCCTGCAACCCAGGCATGTGCCCTTGGCCAGAATTGAACCTTGGACCCTTCAGTCTGCAGGCCGATGGTCTACCCACTGAGCCAAACCAGCTAGGGATCGCTTCATCCTTTTGTATGTTGATATCCAAGTTCCTCAGCACCATTTATGGAAAAGACTATCCTTTCTTTATTGTGTGGTCTTGGCACCCTTGTCAAAGATCATCTGACCACACATGTGAGGGTTTATTTTTAGGCTCTTTCTTTTGTTCCGTTGGTCTGCATATCTGCCTTTAGGCCAGTCATATGTTTTAATTACTATAGCTTTGTCATATGTTTTGAAGTCAGGAAGTGTGAGACCTTTGTTCTTCCTTTTCAAGATTGTTTGGCTATTTGAGATCCCTCAAGTTCCATATGAGGAAACCAGAGCATTTAATGCTAAGACGATACATAAGATTTTTAGACATTATTTCTTTGGTTGTCCAAATAATTAACTGTCACATACTGTGTCTAGGCCTTGGCCGGGTAGCTCAGTTGGTTAGAGTGTCGTCCCGATGCGCCAGGGCTTCAGGTGTGATCCCCAGTCAGGGCACATACCTAGGTACTGGGTTCGATCCCTGGTTGGGCATGTATAGGAGGCAACCAATCAATGTTTCCCTCCCTTCCTCTCTCTCTCAAATCAATGAAAATATATCCACGGGTGAGGAGTAAAAAAAAAAAAAAAAAAAGATAGAGGCCATTTCCAAGCACTACTCTTACAACCTTCTTGATTACCTCACTCATCTCATTTATGGCATTTCCTCTTTCTCCGTACAATTTGCCCAGTTCCTCAGTAGCCACATTCAGGAGCTTGTCGGCATTATCTTCAGTTTTTTACTAGACAAGTCCCCTTTTCTGCAAAAGGAAAAAAACAAGAAGCATACTTGCTCTTTCGTTCTTTTTCAGCCTTGGAGGCCAGATCTGAGACTAAGGTGTCACCTCCAGAGCAGCCTGTTTGTGAAGGACACGCGACCCGGTGGGCGAGACCAGAAAGCCTTCCGAGTTACGGTCTCGAGTCCTCGAGTCTCCCAGACGACTGGGAGTGCGGAAGCCAGTCTGACGGACAGCGGGGGGATCCAGATGAACGTCTGAGTCACGTGATCGTCGGGCCTGAAGAAGTGCCCCCTCTCAGCCCGCAGGCGTCCCTTACTTTCTGTGGGAAAGTCCACCCAGGGGACGAGCCCTATGGATATGACGGATGTAGGGAAGCCTTCTGGCCAGAGGACTTCCTCCTTGGCCGCCAGGAATCCACGCCAGCGAGAAACCCTATCAATGTAAGGAGTGTGGGAAGGCCTTTAAGTACGGCTCGCGCCTGGTTCAGCACGAGAACATCCATTCCGGCAAGAAACCCTACGAGTGCAAGGAGTGTGGGAAGGCCTTCAACTCGGGTTCCAACTTCATTCAGCACCAGCGGGTCCACACCGGCGAGAAGCCTTACGCGTGTCAGGACTGCGCCAGGGCCTTCGGCCGGAGCTCCCAGCTGATCGAACATCAGCGCATCCATACCGGCGAGAAGCCCTATCAGTGCAAAGAGTGTGGCAAGGCCTTCAATCGGATCTCGCATCTGAAAGTCCACGGTAGGATTCACACGGGGGAGAAGCCCTACGCCTGCAAGGAGTGCGGGAAGACCTTCAGCCACCGGTCCCAGCTGATCCAACACCAGACTCTTCACACTGGCAAGAAGCTCTATGAATGTAAGGACTGCGGGAAGGCCTTCAATCAGGGCTCCACGCTCATCCGGCATCAGAGAATCCACACGGGCGAGAAGCCCTACGCATGTCAGGCCTGCGGGAAGGCGTTCCGGGTGAGCTCACAGCTGAAGCAACACCAGAGAATCCACACGGGAGAGAAACCCTACCCGTGCAAGGCGTGCGGGAGGGCTTTCAAGCGGGTCTCTCACCTCGCTGTGCATTACAGGATCCACACGGGGGAGAAACCCTACGTGTGCCAGGCCTGTGGGAAGGCCTTCAGCCACAGCTCCCAGCTGACTCAGCATCAGGTCGTCCACACCGAGGAGAAGCCCTATGACTGTAAGGAATCGGGGAGGACTTTCGATCGTGGTCCCGCTACTCTTCGACGTCGGAGAAGGCAAAGTAGAGAAGCACAGGTGAACGTGATCAACGTAGAAAAGCCTTCCATCAGCGCTTACCCCTTGTTGATCATCAGAGAACTTATGTTAGCAAGCAACCATAGGAATGGAAGTGATGGGGAGAGCCCATTGGCTTAGGCTAGTCATGCAATCGATGAATGGAAGTAATGGGGAGAGCCCATTGGCTTAGGCTAATCATGCAATCAATGAATGGAAGTAATGGGGAGACCCCATTGGCTTAGGCTAGTCATGCAATCGATGAATGGAAGTAATGGGGAGAGCCCATTGGCTTAGGCTAATCATGCAATCAATGAATGGAAGTAATGGGGAGACCCCATTGGCTTAGGCTAGTCATGCAATCGATGAATGGAAGTAATGGGGAGAGCCCATTAGCTTAGGCTAATCATGCAATCATGAATGGAAGTAATGAGGAGACCCCATTGGCTCAGGCTAATTACAGCTTCCTCCTTTCATCTTGCAGAAAGACGAAGAATACAACAAGCCAGAATGCCTTCATTCAGAGCTGTCCTTCCTCCCGACTCATAAATTTCATACTGAAGAACATTTTTTATGGGTATAAATTGTTTAGATCGTGATTATCAGTGAAGCAGGGAAATTCTGGAAAACGTTTTGTCTCTCATACATTCTTGATTCACCTTTTCTGACTACCCATGTAATAATTTTAACATTAGCCAAAGGTTTGAATGGTCTTGGAAATTGAAAAGAAAAAAAAAAGGAAACAGCCAAATGACTCTTGGGTTAACAAGGAAATAAATCATGCAGTTTTAATAAATGGCAAAGAGAAAAATGGCAATGAGAGGTTGGCCAGGTCGCTCAATTGGGTGGAGCATTGTCCCGATACACCAAGGTTTCCGGTTTGATCCCCTCAGAACACATACAAGAATCAACCAATGAATGCATAAATGAGGGGGGGGGGGAATCCATGTTTCTCTCTCTCCCTCTCTCTCTCTCTCTCTCAAATAAATTTTTTAAAGAATGACAGAGTTTTTTACATCCCAACAGACTTTTAAATGTGAGACATGAAAACCTATAAGATTATACTCAAATATATTAACTGTACTATTCAAGAAACCAGAAGAGAGGACACCAAACATCGCTATGAAGAAAGAACAAATTATTACAAGACGATGAAGTAGAAAATGGTCGTCTTACAATAGTGTGAGTTTTTATTTCTTCCAGACCCAGGAGTAAACTAATTTTAGGTGATGGTGTCTTAACTCCCACCTCATTTGATTGTTTGGGGTTATTTTTATACCTTCTGTCACGGATGGCGCATCTGTGTCTTGGCCTTAGAATCTGAAGGTGTCAGGTGCCGATTTTCAGCCTCTGCAGCTCAAGATGGTCTGTCTATTCCAGGGCCCTGTGGGCTCCTGGGAAGGATTCTCCTCCTTCACAAGAGACGTGGATTAGGAAGACTCCCTCTCCTCTCACTTCTGCTCTTAAACATTTTCCTCTGAGACATGACGCCCGGAGCTACTGCAGCCATCTTGGGACCAAGAGACAAAACAGAGAAGCTGACTCAACAGCCCTGGCAACACTGAGCAAGGAGAGCGCTTCTGAAACTTTCTTTGATGCCTTGTTCTGTGAGGAAGAGAAACCCTTTTTCTGCTAAAGTTGATGGGTAACTGTGGCCTAGAAGTCAATACCTACTTTTTAAATTTTGACATTTTTCTTTATGGCTAAGTACGAGTAGATTTCTGTATATTTCATAACACACACACACATACATATACACACACACATATACACACACATTTATTGTTAATCCTTACCCAAGGATATTTTTCCATTGCTTTTTAAAAATATATATATTTTATTGATTTTTTACAGAGAGGAAGGGAGAGGGATAGAGAGTTAGAAACATCGATCAGCTGCCTCCTGCACACCACCTACTGGGGATGTGCCTGCAACCGAGGTACATACCTTTGACCGGAATCGAACCTGGGACCTTTCAGTCCACAGGCCGACACTCTATCCACTGAGCCAAACCGGTTAGGGCTCCATTGCTTTTTAGAGAGAGTGGAAAGCAGGAGGAAAGATACAAAAAAGTTGATGTGAGAGAGACTCACTGATTGGTTGCCTCCCGCATGCACCCCGACCAAGGTATGTGCCCTTGATGCAATGGAACCCAAGACCCTTCAGTCCACAGGCTGACGCTCTACGCTCTGTCCACTGAGCCAAACTGGCTAGGGCTTTGTGTGTGTGTGTGTGTGTGTGTGTGTGTGACATAAGATTCTATTTATTTATGCCTGTAAGTTATAGTGATAAATTTTCCCTGGTCTTGTATTATTTGAAATATTGTTTCAGAATTCCCTAAAATTGAACTTTTTTTTTTTTATCAAGATCATGAATTTCCAGAAATTTTTACTTTTTAATTTATGTTTGTTACTTAAGCTCTATTTATGAACCATACCATTTATCATTATGTAATATCCTATTCTGCCAGGTATAGTGGTCAACAAACCAAGTCTGGCCTGCTGCCTGTTTTTATAAATAAAGTTTTATTGGGACACAGCCATGCTCATTTATTTAGTTATTCTCTACAACCGGCAGAGCTGAGTGGTTGGAGGAAGACTAGTCACAAAGCCTGCATTTGCTGTCTGGCCCTGAAGATAAGTTCGCCGCCTGGCCAGGGTAACTCTGTTGATTGGAGCATTGTTCCATACGCCAAGGTTGCGGGTCCTTTCCCTGGTCAGAGCACATACAAGATTCAACCAATGAATGCATAAATACGTGGGACAACAAATGGATGCTTCTCCCTATCTCTAAAATTAAATAATTATTGTAATCATACCTTAAAAATCACATGAACATACGCACAATGTGGAATTTGGATGTTTCCCTTTTTAAAAAAAAAATATATATATATATTATTGATTTTTCACAGAGAGGAAGGGAGAGGGATAGAGAGTTAGAAACATCGATGAGAGAGAAACATCCACCAGCTGCCTCCTGCACACTCCCCACTGGAGATGTGCCCGCAACCAAGGTACATGCCCTTGACCGGAATCGAACCTGGGACCCTTGAGTCCGCAGGCTGACGCTCTATCTGCTGAGCCAAACCGGTTAGGGCTGGATGTTTCCCTTTTTAAAGGAAGTGTGAACTAAAATGTCACCTTGGAGCTGGAGTGGAAAAGTTTCTTATTTCTCTTACTACCAACTAATCAATTCGCCACTTCCCATAGGTAACCAATTCCTTCCATTGCTAAGGCTCTATCACCCCGTTACATATGAAGTACACATTCATCTCTGATCTTGGGTTTCATCCACACACAGAGACTCAATTACCCATTTCAAACTACACCTCAACGCTAAGTGGCTCCTTGATAACATCACAAATGTGCCTCATTTCCTCACATGATACTTTATTGATTTTTAGGGAGAGAGGGAGAAACATTGATTGGTTGCCTCCCATATGTGCCTGACTGGGGATTGAACCCAAAACTCACGTATGTGCCCCAACCAGCAATCAACTCCAAAACCCTTTGGCTTACGGGACGATGTTACAACGGAGCCACCTGGCCAGGCCTCCTTGCTTCACTTTTTATCAACTATGACCAAGTTTAGAAAGTCAACACCACATTGACCCCCGCATATCAAAACCACCTACCCTGAGCTTTCTAATGGTAGTTCCTACTTTGCACAAGGTTTATGGGAGCCTGTCCCAATTCCCCCACTCAAATGTAAAATGGTTGCAAGTTTCTACACTTAAAAAAAAAAAGAACTTAGAGCCTGGCCAGTGTGGCTCAGAGGTTGAGCATCAGCCTATGAACCAGGGGGTCACAGTTCCATTCCCAGTCAGGGCACATGCCTGGGCAGTGGGCTCCATCCCCAGTAGGAGGCGTGCAGGAGGCAGCTGAACAATGATTCTCTCTCACCATTGATATTTCTATCTCTCCTCCCTTCCTCTCTGAAATTATATATATATATATATATATATATATATATATATATATATATAGCCTGCGGACTGAAAGGTCCCAGGTTCGATTCCGGTCAAGGGCATGTACCTGGGTTGCGGGCACATCCCCAGTAGGAGATGTGCAGGAGGCAGCTGATCGATGTTTCTGACTCTCTATCTCTCTCCCTTCCTCTCTGTAAAAAAATCAATAAAATATATTTTAAAAAAAAGGCCTTCTCACCTAACTGGTTTGGCTCAGTGGATAGAGCGTAGCCTGCAGACTGAAAGGTCCCAGGTTTGATTCCAGTCAAGGGCATGTACCTTGGTTGTGGACACATCCCAAATAGGAGGTGTGCAGGAGGCAGCTGATCGATGTTTCTCTCTCATCGATGTTTCTAACTCTCTATCCTTCTCCCTTCCTCTCTGTAAAAAGTCAATAAAATATATTTAAAAAGAAAAGAAAAAAAAAAAGGCCTTCTCGCATCACTGGCCCTTGACCGGATCAGCCTTGGTGTTTCCAGAAAACCAGTGTTGGTATTTTGTAAGGTCTGGTCTGAGGCAAGGCTGATGTGACTCTGTCCAGCCCTACTCTGCCACCTGACCCTAACCACATGGGTCTGGGTAGCTGCCTCCATCGGCAGACAACATCAGCTTTCATCTTGGCCGAAACTCCAGGCATTTCAGGGGAACCTTAAAAAAATTAAAAAATAAAAAGCCCCATTGAGATAGAAGCTCTTTAGGAGGCAGAGAAAGGGGTAAAATTTTCCTGAAAGGGTAGCTCTCACTCTTTCATGTAAAACTGAACTGCCACTCACCCCTGAATATACTAGTATTTTCATTTGACCAGCAAGGCCTTTTGGGTCCCTTAATTTTTAAAAATATATATTTTATTGATTTTTTACAGAGAGGAAAGGAGAGAGGTAGAGAGTTAGAAACATCGATGAGAGAGAAACATCCATCAGCAGCCTCCTGCACACCTCCTGCTGGGGATGTGCCCACAACCAAGGTACATGCCCTTGACCGGAATCGAACCTGGGACCCTTCAGCCCGTAGGCCCACGCTCTATCCACTGAGCCAAACCGGTTAGGGCTGGGTCCCTTGATTTCTAATCATTCATTCTGAGTTGACTTGCCCTTGAGCTGGGATGACGGGGAAGGAGAATACCTGGGGGGGGGGGGGGGGGAATCTCCGTTTCCAGGACATAGAGCTG